TGCAGTGGCGCGAACTCGGCTCACTGTAACCTCAGCCTCTCGGTTCAAGTAATTCTTCTGCCTCAGCCTCCCAAGTAGCTGGGACTACAGGTGCCTACCACCAAGCCTGGCTAATTTTTTATATTTTTAGTAGAGACGGGGTTTCACTATGTTATCCAGGATGGTCTCAATATCCTGACCATCTGCCTGCCTCAGCCTCCCAAAGTGTTGGGATGACAGGCGTGAGCCACCATGCCTTGCCCATTTTGTATCTTTTATATAGTATTTTTACTTTACTTTTTCTGTGTTTGGATATACAAATACCATTGTGTTAAACTTGCTTACAATGTATAGTATTCAGTACAGTAACAGGCTATACAGGTTTGTAGCCTAGGAGAAATAGGCTGTACCATATAGCCTAGATATGTAATAGACTATCCCATGTAGGTTTGAGTAAGCATACTCTATGATTTTTGCACAACAATGAAATCACCTAACAATACATTTCTTAGAATGTATCTCTGTCTTTAAGCAATGAATGCATATCAGTTAAGCCTGTGAGGTAGGCCGGAGGATATGGAATAGCAGACACCAATATTTACCCTCTACATCATATCCTACTCCCAAGAGGCAGCTTCTTTCATCTCTTTTAGTAGATTCTTTTGGAATTTACTTCCATATTTCTAATTAACAAGTGTATATTGCTGCTGCTTAGTTTTTCAGATTAAAGGATAGAGCTCCACTCATTTGTTTTGTTTCTCTGTCAATATTTACAAGAGTCAAGTTATCTTAGAACTGGAAGAGACTTTAGATCCTCCAGAGAATCAAACAAAAAATGTCAAGGGCTTTTGGCAGATAACTTAAATGAAAAGAATAGGGAGTAGTATGGACTGTGGCATACTAGAATGCTATCCCATCTAAGGACATTGAATTCAGTTTTTAACTCTGCACATATCAGACAGTTGCAATATATGGACCTTGTTTGGATAGTGATTTATACAACAAACTATCTTTAAAAGTTTATAACAGTTATAGAAATTGAATAACTGCAAATTGAGCACTAAAATTTTTATATTAAAGCAGTATTGCCCTTTTAGATGTGATGGTAATGATACTAAGGTTAAAGATGTATGAAATGATATAATAGGCAAGATTTGCCTCAAAACAATATGGGAGTAGAAGGGAATAATCAAAAAACAAGATAAGCCCTGAGTTGGTAATTATTCAGTCTGAGTTCAGGGTATGTGGGATTTTGTTAGTTTATTTACGTAATAATTTACATGTATATAATTTTGAAAATTTTCATAACCATTTTTTAAAAGACTTATATGGGTAAAACCTCGTCTCCTTAGAAGAGGAATATTAGAATGAGGAGAAAAGGAATCCAGATTAGGCGAGAACAAAGGTAGTTCTATTAGCTATACTGATTAAGGGTTGCCCCAGAACCTTAGTAGTATATTCTGTTTAATAAATAGGTATTTGTTATTATACATATTTATTTGTTTGGTATATTCTGTTAAGTTTATTTGTATACTCAAATATTTTTTTTTTTTTTTTTTTTT